CACCTAGTGAGCTCAGCCAGTCAGCCAGTTCTCAACCCACCTTGCTGCCCACTCATCTATCCCACACTTTCTCAGCTTTGTTAGTAGGATGTCATGGGAGACAGTATCGAAAGCCTTGCTAAAGTCAAGGTAGATGACATCCACTGCTCTCTCCCATCTACCCAGCTGGTGATGCCATCATAGAAGGCAACGAGATTGGTCAAGCGTGGCTTCCCCTTGGTGAATCCATGCTGACTACTCCTCATAACCTTCTTCTCTTCCAATTGCTTAGAGATGGCATCCAGAACAAGCTGTTCCAACACCTTTTCAGGGACAGAGGTGAGACTGACTGGCCTGTAGTTTCCCAGATCCTCCTTCTTGCCCTTCTTGAAGACCGGAGTGACGTTGGCTATCCTCCAGTCTTCATGCATCTCTCCTGATCTCCAAGACTTTTCAAGAGGATAGAAAGCGGTTTGGCAAAAACCTCTGCTAGCTCCCTCAGCACACGTGGATGCATCCCTTTGGGGCCCATGGGTTTGTGTGTGTTGATACCACTCAGAAGCTCCCGAACCACGCCCTCCTCAAACACAGGGGAGGTCTCCATTTCCCAGACTGTTTCTCCTCCCTCCAGGGTCCAGAAGTCCAGTGGGAGGGAGGGGGTAGTCTTTGAAGCAAAGACTGAATCAAAGAAGGAATTCAGTATCTCCACCTTCTCAGCGTTCCCAATTACCAGGACACCCACCTCATTCAGCAGGGGACCCACATTATCCTTAGTCTTCCTTTTTCTGTTTACATACTTAAAAAAAAAAACAAACAAAAAACAAAAACCAAAAAACTTTTAATTATACTTTATCTCCTTTGTCAGCTTCATCTCCATGTGGGTTTTAGCCTTGTCACATCCCTGCAGGCCCTGACAATACTCCTATACTCCTCCCAAGGGGACAGGCCCTTTTTTCACATTTCATAGACCTTCCTCTCCCTTTTGATCTTGTTGGTGACCTTGCTTATCCACACAGGTCTCCTGCCCCACTTCCCTGATTTCCTACTCTTAGGGATGCACCAATCCTGATTTAGTACACCACCATAACAGTGTCCCCCATGCCAGCCCACCCTTTAATTCTCACCCACAAGCTTTCCACTCATCCTTTGCCCTCCCCTAGGTGGAGCTGGTTATGCTGTAATTGCTCTCTCACATAAAGGGCAACTCCTCCCCCTTGCTTCCCCAGTTTGCCTTTCCTAAAGAGGACATAGACTTCCATGGCAGCATTCCAGTCATGCGAGCTGTCCCACCATGTCTCCGTGAGCAATGAGATCGTGGCCCTGTGACTGTACACAGATGTCCAGCTCAATTGTTGGAGTCCAATCCAGTTCTTGGCTTTGTGTCCTGGGTTCTGTGCTGTACACAGGAACTGTTATTTTTCATTGCTTTTTTATATATTCATGCTTCTGTCATTCTTTTCCCTTGCAACACACATCTGAGTGCTTTTCTTAGGTGCTACTGTTTCAGACAAAAAATTACAATACAAGCAGAAATGTACAGAGGGATGTTGAAAGACAATATAGCTGTAGGCTGCACTTCCACTCTTGGTCTTAAGAAGGTAGCCTAGATGTTATTATGCAGATACATGCACTTTGTTTCGCCAATGTTGAAACAATAAATTTTCTCTTGTGATTTTTGAAGTGGGAATTTTTTTTTTTAGAACAAACTTTTGTGAGAGGTAAGGTAAAAGATGTTTGTGAATTGGAACAAAAAATAGAACATTTTATTTTTAAGGTTTATGCATATATATAAGTCAGAAAGAATATATGGAACAAGACAGAAAGAAATGTGCATTGGAAGAATAAGAGCATCTGAAATGGCCTTGCACTTGTGGTTCTGAAGGTGTCCCTAAGACAGCAAACCAGACAAATATTTGTGCTGAAATTTGTCCAAGCAGAAAGTCTGGGACAAAGTTTATCTATAGACAACATGGGTTGGCTAGACCAGTCAAGACAACTTGGCTTCTCAATGTCTGTAATGTGCTCTAATCATGCTACTTAAGTTGTTTATCAGATGCTTAACATGGATTTGGGTGGCAAATATGGAAGGAAATTTCAGGTCATCATAAGCAATATAAAAGCTGATCTTTTCTTTTCTTTTCTTTTCTTTTCTTTTCTTTTCTTTTCTTTTCTTTTCTTTTCTTTTCTTTTCTTTTCTTTTCTTTTCTTTTCTTTTCTTTTCTTTTCGCTTCTTTTCGCTTCTTTTCGCTTCTTTTCGCTTCTTTTCGCTCTTTCGCTTCTTTTCGCTTCTTTTCTTTTCGCTTCTTTTCCTTTCTTTTCTTTCCTTTTCCTTTCTTTTCCTTTCTTTTCTTTCCTTTTTCTTACCACACAACTCTTATAGTTTTCCCACTCTAAGGAACCTGTAATTGAGAACCAGAGAAAAGAAAAAAGAACACACACCTATCCTGATTTATCACCAGACAAACACATTGTATTAAATCCTACATATCTTCAGCACTCAAAATTTCCAGGAGGTTTAACAGGAGTTTTGTGAGAACATGGAATATAAGGGTCAAGGCCATTCTGAAGGAAAGGAATCCATGCCATGTACTCTGCAAATCATGCCAGTCTCTACATTAGTGCTGAAATTACTTTCATAATAGGCTAGGTAATAGACACTTTGATTTATATCTTAAACAAACAAGGAACTGAAGAGGTGTGCAGAACAGAGGAAAAAAATGGAGAGTATGTACAAATTATTCCTGTAGTCTTTTCAGGCATGCTGATAGAAAAGGCTGACTTTAGATCTATGGTCACCAGAAATCAGTTCATTCGTATTTGGCTATTCAGATTTATGCTGTCATTGTTGAAAATATAGTATGATCTAAAAAGAAAAAAAGCATGAAGCAGTGCTTGTGGCAACATGACAATACCCAGTGGTCAAAGCGAGGTTCTTGTTTTCTTGTATTTGTAGCAAGTATGTTAGAAAATGGGAGTTCCCTGGATGTGGTTAAAGTATTTCCATGTATTGGCTTACTTAAACAGTCTATAGCTCTAGAAAAGATAACACATGCTAACCATGCCATATGTAATTCTGACATATCCCCTAGAACCACAGAGTGTCTGAACTGTACAGAACCAGCATTGTTCCATTGTTGCTACTTTGTTCCTAATTTTGTGTTTTTAGACACTGTGGTGTAAGAAACACATTTATTCAGATTGTGTTTGCATTTGTGTGTGTTTGCATTTTTTCATGCTTACTTTGCTACTCATGGCCTATAGAAAAGTAGAGAAAGTGTATATATGAGATTTTCACATCAACTCGCATATTCTTTTGGTAGGGCTAAGCTGAAATCAGGACATTCCAGTAATCAGAAGTATCAAACAGGAACAGTTCAAGTCAGAATCAAGAGAAGTCAAGACACTAGGAAAAGGCATGACAGACATCCAGGATAAAGACCCATTTTGCAGTTGGAGCTTGAAGCAAGGAACACCTATAGAACAATGTAGAGCTAGAATGATGTCAGGAGCTAAAGGGAGGCCTTGAGAATTAGAGTCACAGTATGACTCAGGAGCAATGGAAAGGAATACCAAGAGCTATAACCAAGCTCTTGGTTTGGGAAACCATGTAGACAAAAACTGTATAAGCGTATACAGACCCATACAGTGGTATGGGAAACCACATACACAGAAAATGTACAGATTTGTAATACACCCCTCAAATACTACACCTTATCAGGTCCCTAGTTTTATTTATTAAAAAAAAAATAAAAAAAAATAAAATTACAGCTTAGCAGTACTTAAGAGGTATGGCCATGACCTACTAGAAAGTCTTAGGCCCAGTATTCTTCCATATTTCGGCTATCTTCCAGCTCTACATTCTCCTAACTTTGGAAATGACTTGTATCATGAATTATAAAAAGCACTATTTTGCAGTATTAAGATTTTGCATTCATATTGGTGGGTAAAAGAAAACTGTTGAGTCAGATTTACAACAGCCTGAAGCATGTGAGCTGTAATGAGCTCTGCCTCTCCCCTATCATGACAACTTAGGGAGTCCACCATAGACACTGGTTTGCAATTGTTTGAATTGCCTTGACTGCTGCAACTGTTACCTTCATGACTAGTTGAGATCTGTGTTCTCTACTGGCTAGATGAACGTTATTTACATCTTTTATCTTAGAGAAGCTATCTAGGTGACAGCAGTACTGCTGGCCACAAGAGGGAATAATGTGTGACTGCTTGCCTGCCCTGCTCATAGCAGTCTTCCAGGGACTTTACCCTGCAAAGAGAGACAATAGAAAGTGTTCTCTGCTTGGGAGAACAACCCAGGAAAATAGAGATTGTGTTTGTTTTACCACAGCACTCAACTTAGTTATTCAATATCTAAATATCTTGCTCAACTTTGAGTGGAGTTGCTCCCTGCCCACACCCCCCTCCTATACTTTGCTTCCCCCCCCCCCCAATGCCAAGAATGCTAGAAGGGATGTATTAGTGATATTGTTTAAAAAACAAAATAACAAAAAACATTTTGCTTACAACATCTGGCTGGTATTGTGCTTTGACCTCTTGATATAGCAAGGAATTCATTTTTCCCATAATGACAATTTAACCTGACACTTTCTCCTAAAACTGGATAATTCAATGAATCTTACATTTTTGGATGAAATTCCTCAAGTTTGCATTGAAGCATTGTTCTTTTTCATTGTGGTGACTTCTGTTTCTACAAACAAGATATATCATGAGCTTGCAAAAGTTTAGATGTGAAATCTGGCATGGTATAAATAAACCAAGAGTTCTGAAGAGATGACTGTTCTTTCTCAAATAATAGCATGGAGAAACAATGAGAGATTGTAGAAAATCAAAGGAAAATGAAATATGAAACATTTACACATTAATCTATATAAACTCTCCTTCCAACTGGTGAAGTGATGTGATTTTGTTTGACACAGAGAAGGTGGAGTCTGTAATGACTATGTCTTTAATGGGATTTGCAGACAGCTGGGATGGGAGGTGTGTCCTCCTTGTCCTCCTCTATACCGCCTTCCCAGTACACAGTATCTTTTAGGGCAGGTTCCCACATGTTCACTCGGCTAAAAGGTGTTTTGTCTTACACGTTTAGCTGTTTATTTTGAGATTGCTTTCCAGAGGAATTCAGAGGTACATAAGGAGAGTGATTACTTCTGAATTCTTGCCTATTGAAAAAAAAATAATAGTAGAAACATGGGACTTCAATGCTATACCGATTTCCTCACTGCTGTGTAGGGTCTTTGTGAGGTGTAGGCTGCTGGTGAGCTATTACTAAATCAGACACACCTTTGGGTTGGGCTATTTTGGAAACTAAATACTTGATCAGGCTTGAGGTCTGGTCTGCTTGGGAGAAGTGATTTTATTTTGTGTTGTTACATGTACTTTGATGAGCCGATGCAGTTGAAGGACAGTGTCCTCTGTGTAACAGATCAAAGGCAGACAAGTGGTGCCCTGTAGGAAGCCTCACCTGACTGTTTTCATAGTGAGGATTGCTGGCTTTCAGACAACTAGGCAAGAAAGAAAAAGTGACATCCAATGGGGGTACCTTTATTTGGTGATAGCAAGCCCTTCTATTACCGGATCTGGAATGGACTAAGTCAGAAGCTGCAAGGCAAAAAATCCTGGGATAAACATCTGGATGAAATCTACTTACTCCAGCAGAAAAGGTACAGTGTATTGTAGCATTCTCACCTTCCCTTTCTTCTGCTGCTCTTTCCCTGTAGCTCATTCTTACTCTCTTCCCTTAGGCATTTCTGCCAGTAAATAAGCTTTAAAAAACCTTGAAGCACTGTTCTTTATCAGACTTCTTCTTTCAAAGTGGAATGTTTCTGGAGTTCCAATCTTATCTGCTTTCACAAGTGGATTTACTAGATCTCCATTGAATTACCCTGAGTGCAGGGCTTCACCCACAAATTAATAACATGTGTTTTTTACTTTCCTTCTTCACTGGTAAAGCTCACATGCAGTGTTTTTTATTTTGTTTTGCTTTAACTGAGAGTGTGTGTGGCATTTATACTTCAGTTAGCTTTGTTTGAAATTATGGCTTTTTGCAGGGATTCTGCTTTCTGTCTCTCTGAAGGTTGCCCTTGCTGTTTGGTAGAATGGGTGCAATATTGTTCCACAATCTGATGGTCATTCAGTTCCTCAGTTTGACTGCTATTTCTCATTCCTCCAACCAGGTGCCATTACCTACATCTCACAGAGAGAATTCTCTTAGACCATACGGTTATCAAGAAGATTGCTTGTGTTTTCACATGTAAATACTGGATCAAGGCTGTTTGTTACTGTTGTGCAAGGTTGCTCCCTCCACAGGCAGGGATGCAGGAGCATTCACAGAAATCCAGCTGAATCTGTTTTTTGTTGTTCCTTGTTATTTCTGCATGCACAAAGTCTGCAGTAGTCAAACAACAAAAATTGCTTCTAGTCTTTTGTTTTTCTTTCCCCTGAAACTTAGAAAAATGAGCTCAAGAGACAGAGTTCTATCTGTGTGTATGCATGTATGCACATATGTATACACACACACATGTATAGAAATAAGTAGGCTAATTTTATTACAGCAATAGCTGTACCTATCTGTCTTTAGGGGAAGAAATTCCACATCATCATTTAACTTCTGACAAAATAACAAAGGCCTGTGATATTTTATTTCAAAGCAGTGAGACATAAATACACTTAAAATGGAAGGGAGGGTGGGAACAACATTTTCTCCATAGAACTCTGAAGTGTTTAACTTTGTATACATTTATGAATAACATCATAAGTAACTGAAAAATACATTCTCAGACTCTGTAATCTCCAAGTGAACAGATACAAGATAAAAGTCTAAAGACATTAATATTTTTATATTTATAACATTATCTTCACAATTTTATATCACAGAGATGTAGAAGAGACCTCTGGAGGTTTCTAATCTAACGACCTACTCAAAGCTGGTTTATTGCCAACACTAAATCGCACCACTTTGGCTATGTGTGTGTCTTGAAAGCCTTCCAGGACAGAGATTCTTTAGGAATCTGTTAAAGTGTTGTAGTATTCTGTCTGCTAGAGGGTTTCTTTGTTTGTTTCTTTGTTTTGGTGTTGGTTTTTGTTTGTTTGTTTTTTCTTCCTAGTGTTCAGTCTGAACTTCTGAAATCATCATTTGATGTTGTAGCCAAACCAAATGGTTTACCAATTAGCTATTACCAAGAAGGGTTTGGCCCCTTCCTCTTTGTCACTCCTATTCACGTAGGCTGATATTGGATTGCCATTCAACCTTCTCTTTGCCTAATGAGCCCAGCTCCCTCAACCTTTTCTCATAAGTTGTATGCTGCAGGCCCATGAATATCTTGTGCATTGCTTCTGACAGCAAAAAACAGAAAAATCATAAATTTCTTATCAATTATTATAGTGAAACCCCATTGGTCCCCAAAACAACACTTATGTGTTTCTTTCTAAAAATCTATGTAAAAACACATGTACTTCATATGATTTCACTGTCCATGAAATGAGGCTTGCATGGAAACACATTTTTTCCCTCCAATTTTAGGTGTATGTGTTTCCCAAAAGTAACATGGTGCCAATATATATATATATATATATTTTTTTTTTTTTCCTGAGGAGGGACAGGACCATTTCTTCCCCTTGTCTTACTCTTTCCTTTCTATATTTCTGTTTCATCCTAGGCAGCCATGTTTTTGTCCCCAGAGATACTCAGATTTTGAGAAAGCAAAAAGGAGCATTTTGCAAAGGACTAGAATCACTTTTATTGCTTTCGTATTCTTAATTATGTACAGGTAGAAAGACACAAAAAGAAAACTTCCTGTAGTGATTTATGTATGGATCTACTCATAGAAAACTTCTGTTTATATGGAAACACTGCTGTAAACAAAGACTGTTTTTACTTCATCTTGTCATTTTCTTCCGGGGAACTGCAGTGTTGTGACATCGGATTGAATTCATCTAAATGTTAATGGCACTAACACAAGGGATACACACAGGAATAAGCAGCAATTACATTCCACTGTTATCGTATTGAAAGCCAGTGGCAAATATGGTACTACTTTTCTACTGTGTTCTGAATTCATAATTCTGCGTGTCATGATTCTGCACTAGAAGAAGAATGCATTTTACTGTCTCACAATTAATACTGATAAAACCTACTGTTTTGGTAGTTCTCACCTTCACTGGTGTTGCTGTTTATTCTCCTTCATCATGTGTATTAGTTCATTGAATCTTACTGGAATTTGGTCTCAGCATTATCCACAGTGAGGTTTTTTTTTTTTTTTGCTTAATCCTGCACTGTATAACATTTCCCAAAGTGACATCCACGTTCAGGAAATGTGATACAAACTCCTTCTAATAGAGAGGACTTTAGAGGTTATTATGCCTTACTCTACTGGTCTTTTCCAATTCAAGAATCTCCTTAACAAGCTTGTAGCTCAGTGCGGTGTCCTGAAGATGGAGGTCACAGCTCATATGTGTATTATAGAATTTGGAATTAATCTATTGGATTTGAATAGCCTGGAGCATATGAACATTATGAATATTAAAACAACAGTAACAATGAAGAACCAACATGGTTCATAATCATGGATTGAATAAAGAGAGAAATATTTATGAAAATGCAGGCCTGATAAAGGTGAAGAGGAGTCACGTGCCTGTCACAGCTTAACACATCTCCCAGAAACTATAAGAGTCTTTGGTTGGATGGCTTTTGTTTTGTTTGTTTTTATCTGGCTTTCAGTGTAAAATGTTCTAAGTAAATATGAACAGAATCTTCCTAGCATGTAATTTTTTAAACTCCACAGTATAAGAATTACACTGTTTATCAAAAATAATCAAGCAATAAATTAAAGCAATTGAATACATGGACCCATACTATTAAGTTTTATTTTTTTTTCTGCTATTGCCTGCCTCTGTAATTTGGATTGATATATCATCTATTTTATGTGTGTTTCCCAGGTGTTTCTCAGGAATTACTGGTATCACCTGACTTTCCTGGGATGCTGTGAGACTTAATTATTCTAATAACAATAAAACATTTAATTTGTGTGATACATTTCAACAGAATTATCAAAGCCCTTTTACACATCAATTAATTATAGAAATCTGTGCTATGAGAAACAATGTATTAGAGGAGCTTGGACCAATTCACATAACTTGCAAGGAGCTAGCTTTGCATAACTGGCAGAAGTCACTCCAACCATGCCGAAATGAAAGCTTTATAATCCCTTTAGTTGCCAAATCTTTTTGTGGTTGTTCAGTCTCACAGGTGCTTTAGTAAAGTGCTTTGACTCCTGTGAAAACAAACATGGCACAAATAAAAGTTAGGTCAGTTTAATGCTGTTGAATTGGTTTGCTTAAGAGTTGTATGGGGACACAGAAAGCCTTCATCTTCTAGACAAATCTTTGCCAGGTGGGTTGTGCATAAGAGATGTTTTTTCTTTTCTTTTTTCTTCAGTCTAAACAACATTACTGAGTTTTCAATGCACAAATTAACATACAACTCTCCTGTCTTAAAATCCACAATGCCTGTCAATATTAATTGGTTCCTTTGCTTCAAAAGATGTCTTCACAGTGAAAAGAAGATTCCAGTTCTACCTGTAATACTGTTCAGTAACAGTTCTGAGTAGTCAAGATGCAAAGAGCAGTCTGTTGAAAAAATTTTGCTGCTACATGTAAAATTAAGTCAAAGGCATGATTTTTTTTTTTTTTTTCTTATACTATTACACCTTCATCCTGATGGAATTTTTCAGTCTAATAATGGAAAACAAAATACTTCAATTGCGTTGGTGTAAAGGTCCTCCAGAACTCTCAATATACAAACAAGTGCGCATTTGGCATGAGTGCCTAAGATATGGCTTAGACTCATTGATTTTTGGAAGTTATTTACCTATAAAAAGAACAAATTAAGAAATAGATAGAGAAAAGCAGTTAGACACAGTGAGGAACACAACTGAAATAAAAGAAAAACATTTGTGAAGAAGGTTGGAAGTTCTGATGCAGGGAGAGGTTGCGTTTCAGATAACCTTTTTTTGTTTTGTTTTGCTTTTAAAATAAATAATTTAGTGATAATAAAAAGTAACCTCTGATGAACTATTAATCCAATTCTAGCAAGAGAGTATTTTTGGGGTGCTCACAGACACAGATTTAAAAAAAAGAAAAAAAGAAAAAAGAAAGGTAGGAGATAGCCTTGCTGGAACTGACTGAACAAGATTGCTACTCAGTGAAGAAGACAGCTTAAATATCTTTGTTTTTTTTTTGTCTAGTAACTTTATTAGTTAGTAACCCATTTCATTTATTTCTAGAGTTCTCTTTTTACTGACAGCTGAAAGGGCTTCAACATAGATGCACAAGAGTTTAGAATTTGCTGCCCCTGCTTCTGTATTGCTTATCCAAGCCCCTATCATCTGTCTCTTGTTCACTTTGTACTGTTACTTTATATCTCAGTCTTTAGCATCCAGTTAGATTGATCCTCTTTCTGGCTGATTAGTTCCTCTATAAGCAATCCACTGCTCTTGTAATGATGTGCATATATTCACAAAAGCATGCAGCAGAAGGGAGTGTGAAGATGAATTTTCTTTGGCCATACCATAATGAAGTGTTTATCGTGGACAATCTGAACGTGACAGGGGAAGTTGAAATAATATCCTGCAGATGAATTTATAGCCAATTTACAAAGAACTGC